AGCCTCCTTACAAGATGTCAAACCTTGTTCCTAGAATCTAAGGTGACTCCAAGCAAAGGAGTCAAATGGAGGCAGAATCTTAGATACTGGGGATTAAACCAAGGGGTGTTCTACCACTGAGCTACATCCCAGACCTTTTTTGAAAAATTTTTTGAGACAGGGTTTCAATAAGTTGCCAAGTCTGGCTTTGAACTTTTGATACTTGCCTCTTCCTCCAGAGTTACTGGGATTACAAGCATGTGCCACAGCACCCTGAAGAGATGCTGCAAGTCTTTTATTCTTCTTTTGGCCACCTCATAGGACATTTGCAGGTGAAAGTGAGGAGTCTAAGTCCTTATTTTAATTCCCCCATCTTTTTTTCCAGGTATTAAACCCAGGGTGCTTAGGGCCTTGCTAAGCTGCTGAAACTGCTCTCAAACTTGTGATCCTCCCACATCAGCATCCCAAATCTCTGGAATTATAGGCATGCACCCCATGCTCAGCTTTTGCTGGATCTTGAGAGAATTAGAATGTCAGCCTATCTGGCGTTGCAGGTTTCTTGGCCTGGAGGTGTAGTCATTTTTTTTTAAAATGGCTGAAGCATATTAGCAAAAATTGTCAGATGCTTAAGTCTAAACACAGAAGTACCATTATAAATTTCAAAATAATATAAAAGGGAATCAAATTCATAAGATGTCCAACTAAACAAATCATGTAGCGGGGGTCCTATATTCTTTTAAATAGCTTCATGAGTATAGACCACACACACAAAAAAAAAATTTGCCATGAGAAAATAAGTCATTTTCTTATTTCTGTCTAAATAGAGAGCCTATAGTTGGTTGATGAGGGCCACAACCAAGTTAAGATGGTGCCTGGCAGTATGCTAGGAGGAGTGGTTAGTGAGCCAACACCAGCGAGCCATTAAGATGATGAGGGGGCTGGGGATGTGGCTCAAGCAGTAGCGCACTCACCTAGCATGCGTGCTGCCCGGAGTTCCATCCTCAGCACCACATACAAACAAAGATGTTGTGTCCACCAATGACTGAAACATAAACATTAAAATTCTCTCTCTCTCTCTCTCTCTCTCTCTCTCTCTTTAGATAAAAAAAAAGATGATGAGGACTCCTTAATGAATGACTGACTGCTGTGTCTAGATGATATCAATTAAGTTAAGCTGTGTGTAATTAGTTGGGTATATGTACCTCTGCGGTCTGGAAGAGAAGTGGCTCCTGCTACCTTGGGTGTCCACTACTTTGAGTTCTCAGTTCTTGCTGAGATCATTTGCAATAAAGTAGTTCCTGCTTCAACCTTCAAGTTGCTTGTCCCCTCTTGGTTATTTTGCCCAGCTGGACTTAGGCAGCCCAGCCAGACTATGGTAGTTGGTCATGGTGCCACTAGGATTATAATCCTAGTGATTTGAGAAGCTAAGGGAGGAAAATTGCAAGTTTGAGATCAGCTTAGGCAACTCAGTGAGACCCTGTCTCAAAAATAAAAATAAAAAGGACTGGGAAAGTAGCTCAATGGTAAAGCACCCCTATATTCAATCCCCAGTACTATGAAAAGTGTAAATAAAAATAAGAACATAAATATAGCTCTCAACATATAGATATAAATATAAAAGGGCCACTGTCAATAGCTAAACTGGGGAACCAACGTAGATGCCCTTCAGTAGATGAACAGATAAAGAAAATGTGGTATACATACACAATGGAATATTATTCAGCATAAAAGGGAATAAAGTCATGGCATTGGCAGGTAAATGGATGGAGTTGGAGAGTATAATGGTAAGTGAAGTTAGCCCATCCCCAAAAAAACAGATGCTGGATGTTTTCTCTGATTTAAGGATGCTGATTCATAATGTGGTTGGGGGCGTGGGAGGTATAGAGGAACTCTAGATAGGGCAAAGGGGAGGGAGGAGAAGGGAGGGGCCATGGGGGTAGGAAAGACAGTGGAATGAGATAGACATCATTACCCTAAGTACATGTATGAAGACATGAAGGATATGACTCTATGTACAACCACAGATATGAAAAACTGTGCTCTATATGTATAATATGAATTGTCGTGATTCTGCAGTCGTAAATAACAAATTAAATTTTTTAAAAAGGGGGAGCCACTGTCTTTTCCTTTTAATTATCTGCCATGACATGCAACTAGATCATTCAGGGTCATTCCAGGTGAATTTGGGTTGGCACAAACAGTCACACACACAGACAGAAAGTACCTTTTTCTTAGGCTCCAGTGATGGTTCTTGACCTTAGGGGTCTGTTGGAAAGAGATTGACCCAAATGAATTCTTTACTCTTATATAGGGGGGACACACAAAGGGAGGATTAATGGATTGTTTTTCCCAAATAAGATGAAGGGTCAAGCTTCCAGGGATTGAGTCTAGCTTTGTGATGTCTTGTGGTCAGCAGATTGAGTGACATCTTGACAAGTCACACCCATCTCAGGGCCTGTGTGGGATCAAAAGGCAGAGTGAGCAAAAAAGACACATTCGTGCACAGCCCAGACAGAGCAGCAACGTGAGTCCAGTCTGCTTGTGCGCTCAAAGTGCTCACAGCTCACGCACACAGCCCATGGCTGGCCCATGACAATGACCTGTGCATAGCCTGGCAGGGTGGTGCAGGCCTGTAATCCCAGGGACTCTAGAGGCTAAGGCAGGAGGATCGAAAGTTCAAGGCCAGGATTAATAACAGTGTGAACCCTGTCTCAAAACAAAATATTAAAGGAGCTGGAGATGTAGCTCAGTGGTAGAGCACCCCTGAGTTTAGTCACACACACACACAAATATTCATGTATGACCCTCATATTAACACATTTGTCTTTGGTCATACTTCCCTACTGGGTGTCCAAGATCAAGTAGGTGACCTGTATGGTGGCCAAAAAGTTAACCTCTTTCCTTCATACTGCAAAGATAATCCAAGACTCCTCAGGAATTACATTAGGAACCTGTGAGAAGCTGCCTCACACCTCCGTTCTTTTTCCTCTACCAGTTATTCCATATGCAGGGAACAGGTCAGGGTCTTCTTGACCACGTGACTTCCCTTGGTATCTTTAGGGATGCTTCCCTGTCCAATGACCCTCCTCTTGAGAGAATTAATGATGCACACTGATTGGCTTCCTTTCTTTAAGGTCCTCATGATCAGGAGGTCAGGTGATTCACCAAAGTAGTAGGGCACTTAGGTGGGTCCCATTGTTCCCTGTATTCTGGCTGAACTTGAAAGACAAGGGTCAAAATATTAGCTATTCATTCTTAGCCCTTTTAATTCCCTTGACTTTGTCTCCAACTTGGAGGTAGGTTTAATTTTTAACTTCTGTAATTTTTACAATGGTTTTCATTTAATTGGTGACAATATTAGTAAATAATAGGGATCAGTGTCATATCCTGTGTTTGCTGTAGGTGGTGGTTTGTTATCTCAAATTAACTCAGGGTGTCCTGTTAATATTAAGTTGTCCTTCTGCAAAACACTAACAGGCAATAGTTATAAAATTTTACATGGAAAATACAAAATAAAATTAGCAAGGTCAAATGTATATTCTGTTTGTTTAATAGTTCTAAACCAAGAAAAATAATTTTTTAGCTGGGCTTGATGATGCATGCTTGTAATCCCAGCTACTCAGGAGGTCAAAGCTAGAGGATGGCAAATTTAAGGTCAGCCTGGGCAGTTTAGCAATAATCTGTCTCAAAATAAAAAAAGAAAATGGCTGGTGATATAGCTCAGTGGTAGAGAGAATTCTATCCCCAGGACTGCAAAATTAATTGACTAATTAATTAAATTCCCATCTTAGAATAAAGAATATCATAAATTCTCTCTATATAACTTATTGATAACAGGTTACTTTTATCCTGTTACAAAATATTAAGTGACAAAATAAATTCCCACCTAAATTGACTATTTTTATCTAAGCCTGAAAAAGGCTATCACTACTAAAATTTTAGTTCAGAGGATACCAGCTTAGTAAAGTGTTCTCCTAATCTTTGCATTTTGGTGTATTAGTATTAGTGTCATTATTGGTGGTATTGGGAATTGAACCTAAGGATGCTTGGTCACTGAGCCATACCCTCAGACTTTTATAAAAATTTTATTTTGAAACAGGGTCTCACTAATTTTCCCAGGCTGACCTTGAACTTTTTTTTAAGGGAGAGAGAGAGAATTTTTAATATATATTCTTTAGTTTTCATTGGACACAACATCTTTGTTTGTATGTGGTGCTGAGGATCGAACCCGGGCCGCACACATGCCAGGCAAGGGCGGTACCACTTGAGCCACATCCCCAGCCCTGACCTTGAACTTTTGATCCTCCTGCCTCAACCTCCCAAGTAGATAGGATTAAAGGCCTGCACCTGTAATACATATATTTAGTTTTACCTTTTGAACAAAATTCAGAATCCATGGCTCCATAGGATAACTATAATTACAGGCCTACATAGCAGCACTGATTAAAAAAAAATCAAAACAGAGTTTTAGACTTCTAATAAGTCTAGGAAACAATGCTAAGGAATATAAATAAATTTATTATCTGATGTATAAATGGATCTCTCATATTCAATAATAAATGCTTACTTAGTCAAAGCAAATAGATGCAGACCAAATACAAGCAGCAGAAACACCCAAAGTTTCATTGACCATTTTATGTATTTAATGTCCAGATACAGTGTGTTTTGTATAGAAGACAGCATTCCAAAAGAAGCAGCAGCAGCCAGGTGCAGTGGCCCAATGCCTGTAATCCCAGAGGCTCAGGAGGCTGAGACAGGAGGATCATGAGATCAAAGCCAGCCTCAGCAACTTAGTAAGGCTCTAAGCAATTTGCAAGATCCTGCCTATAAACAAACAAACAAACAAACAAACAAACAAATAAATAAATAAGGGCTGGTGAGATTTACAGATGTAGACATAGCTCAGTGGTACAGTGCTTGCCTAGCAGCTAGCATGCACATGGCCCTGGGTTCAATCCCCAGCAACACCAACAAAACAAAACACTGTAGTGGCACCCCCTTTCTCCACAGAAAAGTCTTACCTGGGATTCTCCAGAGATCTTCACCATGGCTAATTTTAGAGCTGTCAGCAAAAGAGTTTCTACCAAAGAGTTCAACGTAGATAAACTTCCAATTTTTGAGTTGCCCTGTTTTACTTGGCCACTGGCCCGGAATAAAGAGGGTACTGGACACCCTCTTGCTAGTTTTAAACAAACATGTATTCATGTTTATAAAAATGTGTAAACAAGGCCTCTGGCCTTGAGCTGGGCTTCACAGAGATGTCTACACTTCTAAGATAAGAGAAGTTAACAGTTGGGCTCCCTGGTAACAGCTAGAGGGAGAGGAAAGACAGGGGAGAAGAAGCTCTCCCCTTCTCAGGTGTTGTCCTTGAAGGGTTAACTTGCCCAAAACAGTGAAAGAAAAAGCTGCTTTATGTGAACTTCTGCAGACTGTGAACTTCTGAGCCCCTCCCCTTACATGCTGGGTATAAAATTCTGAAACTGCCTGAATCGGGGTTCAGGGGATTGATTGATTACAGCAAAAGCAGTGTCCTCTGAACCTGGATGCAGCCAAATAAAACTGTTTCCTGCTGTCTTCAGTGCTTTGCCTCCTCTGACCCTACAACAACACAACCAAAAGAAGAAGGAGAAGGAGGAGGAGGAGGAG